GGGAGGTGAGATACAAATTTTAAAATTTGTTTTAAAAAAAATACAAAGAAATCAGAAAAACAATTCAGGATATTAATGAGACATTTACCAAAAAATATACATATAAAAGAACCAAACAACTTCCGGAAATAAAGAATTGACTGATGAAATACATAATATACTTGATGAAATATTAAATACATAATATACTTGAAAGCATCAATAATAGGCTAGATCAAGCAGAAGAAAGAATCTCAGAACTTGAAGACAGGTCTTTTGAAATAACACAGTCAGATAAGAATAAGGAAAAAATACTTTAAAAATGTGCAAAGTTTACATGACATATGGGATACCCTAAAGTGCCCAACTATTCAAATTTTAGGAGTCTCAAAGGGGAAGAGAAAATGAAAGGATTAGAAAATCTATCACTAAAACGACAGAGGAAAATTTCTCAAGTCTAACAAGAAATTTAGACATCCTGACACAGGAGGCTCAGAGATCACCAAGTAGATACAATTTAAAAAGGTCTTCTCTGGCCCAGCACGGTGGCTCATGCCTGTAATCCCAGCACTTTGGAGGCTGAGGCAGGCAGATCACCTGAGGTCAGGATTCGAGACCAGACTGGCTAACATGGTGAAACCCTGTTTCTATTAAAAATACAAAAATTAGCCAGGCATGGTAACACACACCTCTAATCCCAGCTACTACTCGGGAGGCTGAGGTGGGAGAATCGCTTGAACTTGGGAGGCAGAGGTTGCAGTGAGCTGAGATTGCGCCACTGTACTCCAGGCTGAGTGACAGAATGAGACTCTGTCTCAAAAGAAAAAAAAAAAGAAAAAAAAAAAAAGGTTTTCTCCATGGCAAATTATAGTCAAACTGTCAAAAGTCAAAGACAAAGAGTTCTAAAAACAGCAAGGGAAAAGCATCTAGTCACCTATAAAGGAACCCCATCAGACTAACAATGGATTTCTCAGCAGAAACCTTACAGGCCAGGAGAGAACGGGATGATATACTCAAAGAGCTGAAAGAAAAAGACTACCAGCCAAGGATTAGGAAAGTTATCCTTCATAAATAAAGGAGCAACAATGTCTTTCCCAGACAAAAGAAAGCTGATGGAATCCATCACCATGAGATGGCTTAAAAGAAATGCTTAAGGGAGTGCTATACCCAGAAGAGAAAGAATGATATCTACAATCATGAAAACACACAGAAATTTTAAAAACCACTGATAGAGCAAAAACACAAAGAAAAGACTAAAATGTTATGAAAGAAAAACTCTATATCACAATAATAAGAGAGAACAAAAGGAACAAAACAACCACAAATCAATTAATAAGATGATGGGAATAATCCCTCACATATCAATAACCCTGAATGTAAACAGATTAAATTTTCCTCTTAAAAGATGTATACTGGTTGAATGGATGCAAAACACAACCCAACTACATGTTTCTTTCAAGAAATTCATCTCATCTGTGAAAACACATTGTGACTGAAAGTAAAGAGATGGAAAAAGATACTCCATGCTAACACAAACCAAAAACAAACAGGAGTAGTTGTACTTGTATCAGATAAAACAGACTTTAGGGAAAAAAAACAGTAAAAACAGACAAAGAAGGTCATTACATAATTGACAAAGAGATCAATTCAACAAGAGGATATAACAGTTCTAAACATGTATGCACCCAATCCTGGAGCACCCAAACATACAAAGCAAATATCTACCGATCTAAAGGGATAGACTCCAATAAAATAATTGTGAAGAACTTCAACATCCCACTGTCAGCATTAGCTTATCTGGACAAATAATTAACAAAGAAACATTGGATTTAAATTGCACATTAGACCAAATGGACCTAACAGACACTAACAGAAGAGTTCACCCAATAGCCACAGAATTTTCTCAATGGCACATGAAACAATCTCCAGAATAGAACATATGTTAGGATACCAAACAAGTCTCAATAAATTTGAAAAAGTCAAAATCGTATCAAGTATCTTCTCAAACCATAATGGAATTAAACTAGAAAATGACAACAGGAACTTTGGAAACCGTACAAATAAACGGAAATTAAACAACAGGCTTCTGAATGACCATTAGGTCAAGGGAGAAAGTAAGGATGAAATTTAAAAAAATTTCTTGAAAAAATAGTAATGGAAACAGTGTAGCAAAACCTATCAGACACAGCAAAAGCAGTGCTAACAGGGAAGTTTACAGCAACAAATGATTACATCAAAAAAGTAGAAAGATTTCAAATAAACAATCTAACAATGCATCTTAAGGAACTAGAGAAGGAAGAACAAAGCAACCTCAAAATTAGCAGAAGGAAAGAAATAAGAAAAATCAGACCAGAGCTAAACAAAATAGAGACTAAAAAACAATACAGTGAAAACCTGTTTTTTTGAGAAGATAAACAACACTGATAAACTACTTGCTGGACTAACCAAGAAAAAAAAGAGAGAAGCCCCAAATAAAATCAGAAATGAAAAAAGAGACATTACAACTGATACCACAGAAATACAAAATATCAGAGACTATTATAAACAAGTATACATTGACAAACTGGAAAACCTAGAGGAAATGTTAAAATGACTATACCACCCAAAGCAATCTAAAGATTTAATACAACCCTATCAAGATACCAATGCCATTTTTCACAGAAATAGAAAAAAAAAAAAGTTCTAAAATGATTGTGAAACCAAAAAAGAGTCCAAAGAGCTAACAAAACCCAAGCAAAAACAAAGCTGGCCGCTGACTTCAAAATATAAGGTTATAGTAACAAAAACAGCATGGTATTGGTATAAAAACAGGCACACAGAATAATGGAACAGAACAGAGAACCCAGAAATAAATCCACATATTTATAGCTAACTGATTTTTTACAAAGGTGCCAAGAACATACGTTGGGAAAAGGATATCTTCTTCAATAAATAGTGCTGGGAAAATTGGATATCCAAATAAAGAAGAATGAAACTGGACCTCTGCTCTTTACCATGTTCAAAAATCAAATCAAAATGTATTAAAAACTTAAACATAAGATCCACAACTATAAAATTACTAGAAAAAAACATCAGGAAGACTCTAAAGGACATTAGGCAAAGGTTTAATGGCTAAGACCTCAAAAGCATAGACAATAAAAACAAAAATAGATAAATAGGACTATATTAAACTAAAAAGCTTGTGTACAGCAAAGGAAACAATCAACAGAGTGAAGAGACAACTTGTTGAATGGAAGAAAATATCTATAAACTATTCATCTGTAAAGGTACTAATATCCAGAATATACAAGGAACTCAACTTACTAGCAAAAAACAAATAATCACACTAAAAAGTAGGCAAAAGACATGAACAGACATTTCTCAAAAGACAACATACAAATGGCCAGCAGGTATATGAAAAACTGCTCATCAGTAATCATCATGGAAATGCAAATCAAGACCACAATGAGATGTCAGTTCTTACCCTCAGTTAGAATGACCATTTTTAGACAAAAAATAACAGATGCTGGTGAGGATGTGAAGGAAAGGAAATCTTATATACTGTTGGTGAGAATGTAAATTTGTACAGCCACTGTGGAATACAATATGGAGGTTCCTGAAAACACAAAAAATAGAACTATCTTATGATCTAGCAATTATACTACTGGGTATTTATCCGAAGAAAAATAAACCAACGTATCAAAAAGATATGTGCATTCACATATTTATTGAAGCACTATTCACAATAGCAAAGATATGGAATCATCTTAAGTATCCATCAATGTACAAATGGATAAAGAAAACGTGGGGCCAGGTGCAGTGGCTCACACTTATAATCACAATGTTTTGGGAGGCCGGAAGAATCGCTTACGGCCAGGAGTTCGAAACCAGCCTGGGCAACATGGGGAAATCCTGTCTCTACAAAAAATAAATTTAAAAAATTTAGCCAGGTGTCGTGGCACACACCTGTAGTACCAGCTACTTGGGAGGCTGAAGTGGAAGGATCGCTTGAGCCCAGGAGTTCGAGACTGCAGTGAGCTATGAATACACCACCGCATACCAGCCTGGGTGACAGGATGAGACCCTGTCTCAAAATAAATAAATAAATAAATAAAAACAAATCTAACATATATAGAATGAAATACATTCAGCCATAAAAAGAATAAAATCATGTCATTTGCAGCAACATGAATGGAACTAGAGGCCATTATATTAAATGAAATGAGCCAAGCAAAAAAGACAAATATCACATGCTCTTACTCACATGTGAGACCTAAAAAAGTTCTCATGGAGGCAGAGAATAGAATGTTAGATACCAGAGGCTGGGAAAAGTGTGTGAGTAGGAGGGAGGATGAAGAGACTTTGGCCAATGGGTATAAACATACAATTAGATAGAAGGTTTATGTTCTAATATTCAATAGCAGAGTAGGGTAAGCATAGTTAGCAATAATGTGTGATATATTTTTAATAGTCACTAGAAGAAAGGACTTAAAATGTTTCCAACACACAAAAATAATACTCAAAGTGATGAATACCCCAAATACCAAATTGAGAATCACACAGTCCATGCATGTAACAAAATATCACATTTACCTCATAAATATATAAAACACTATGTTTCAATTAAAAAATTGTAAGATAATCAGGGAAGTTTGGATACTGACTAAATATTTGCTGATATTAAGGAATTACTGGATTTTTTAGTATGCTATGTGGTTATGTTTTTATAAAGGTTACTTAGTGAAATGTTTATGAAGGAAATGATACGATGTCTGGTATTATTTTCCAAATAATCTAGGGGGTGTGGGGAACGTAGGTATCCATGAGTGGAAAATTGCTGAATCCAAGAGAGTATATGAGGATTCACTGTACTATTTTCCCTATTTGAGTGATGTTTAAAGTTTTCCATACTAAAAAGTTTTAAAATAAATTGTAGGATAATTTTTTTAAAAAACAAGAAGACAATATTATCTCCCAGGAATATGGATTGTATATCCCACAGTGAAAACAATTTCTTTTAACTGCCTGAGAGCCAAACTTACCAGATAGAAGATGGGTAGTACCTACAGACGAAGGGAAAAAAAAAGGATTAAAAACAAAAATTTGTTAAAGTCATTGATTTGCTAGCAATTTCATATACTATCAATAAACTACACTACAAAACTCAAAAGCAACTCAAATTTCCATAATTAAAAATTTATAAAAACAATTACACATGATTAACTTAATCAAGTAGAATGTAAACATTACTGTTTATATCTGTTCAACAGAATCAACACTATAAATACAAATTATGATAAAGAATTATTGACCACCAAAACAAATGCCATTTAAATTGGATTATAAGACTTGAGGGCTAGAAACATGTTTGAAAACGTAAACAGCAAATAATTGCTGATCCAATCATACTATCAAGAAACTATAAGAAGACTAAGTCCCTTTCAACAGACTATATCAAAACTCAAAACTACCACATCACTTTATTGTTTTTTTCAATGATTATGGATGAGACATTGCAAAAATAAATTTACTTTCAGATAAGCAAAAATAAAATAAATAAGCTGCTCTCCTAAGTGAGGTGAACACATTGACTCAGAGTGTCATTTAGAACAAGCAATATTACTCAGCAGAAAAAGTGCAGGATTCAACTGTGCACTGTATATGAACTGTATGAATTAATCTCTAAGCCTCTAATTCCTCATCGATAAAATCAATCTAAAGATACTTTGCAAGGTTGTGGTACAGACGAGTGGCATCAAATAGAAGGTGAATGGAACATATCCCTACAGTATATACTCAGTAAGTGGTGGCTACCATTTTTTTTTTCAATTAAAAAGAGTTAAATATGGCATTTTATATTGGGTCCTGAAAGAGTAAATTAATTGTAACTAAGAGTAAAATTTGATCCCAAATATTGATATTATTATTGACTCATTAGGTTCAGTTTAAATTTGTTAAATTATCTTATACTTTTTACAGAAGAAAATATGTCAATAAAGTTAGTTCTATAACAAATTTATAAGTGACGCTTATTTCTCTTTGCCTTGCCCTATTAAAAACTGGACGTATTCAACCTAGAAATTTTAGACCAAGAGATATCATAAAATTGTAAAGAAGTAAAAAACCTCATAAAGAATTAAAATTAGTGAAGTAAATCTAAATTAATCAATGTAAGCCACAAAACCAATGCTGAGTGCTAAAAGGCAATGAAACATATACAGTTTCTGTAAATTATTTTAAAAATATGAAACATCATTATGTACTACTTATGGAAACATACATGGAATATAAGAATGAAAACAGACAGGAGGTCAGCACATCAGTTTCAGGGCAGTAATTGCCTTAGAGGGAGAAAAATGGGCTGGCGAAATGTATTAAGGAACTTTAACAATAACATCCATAATGTTTAAATTCTTAAAAATATCCAGGTGCTGGCAAAATAGGCTTCAAGGTAACAATTATGAAATACATAAAATCATTTTGAAAATAGGGTCATAATGGGTAAAACTATACAGATAAAACACAATTACTTGGTGCTACTGAGAACCTATCGTTTATAGAGCTTGCAGTAATACGAATTAGTTGAAAGGATCTCTGTATTTTCAATTACTTAGACGACACTATTGAGATGCTTTACCAAATCTGCAACTCTAGGGAATCTGGAAAGATTCCTTAGCAAGCTTTGAGGGATGGGTCTCTATCAATGAACCAGACCCAGGACTCAACCTTAAAGACAGTATATATTTGGTTCTTTGAAGGGGTCTTGAAGAATTCGTTGACTCCCTAAAACTACTACAGAAAACAGAATTTCTTTTTTTACCAATTTTAATTTAGCAGTTTTTTATGGGGCCACAGTCTTTTTCTCTATTATTGTAAATGTTTCTTTTTTTAAACATTTGCCCCAGTATAATCCAAGTCTGCTTCCAAATAAAGTAAAAAGTATTAGTATGAAAAAACCCTGGCTACAATAAATTAGAGACCATTTAATCCTGCAATCTTGGTCAAGTTCCTATTTCCACCATAGCACATTAGATCCATACTCAGTAAACCTGAACGGTGTCAACTGACCTGAACTGGTTCCACTTTCTTTATCTGGGGTTGTTTTATGAAAATGCTTCGTTGTCCTGGAAGCAGGTGTACTCCGTGTTGCTGTAATATGATCAGAAGGGAATCTTTGTGTACTCTTGAGACCATTAGTCATTGGGGAATGTACATTGGTGGACTTTTGTGTTGCTAGAAGACTCTGCATAAATGCAACTTTTACTGTGGTGAATCTTTGGGCTGTTAGTGTGGCCTGTGTAGCAAAAGAATTTGTCATTGTGGGATTCTGAGCTGCAGGAGGGGTCTTTGTAGATAGGGTTTTTGATATGAAAGATGTCTGAGCTGCTGCTGGGGCTTTGGTGGCTGAAACATTTACTGTGGTGGGTTTCTGAGGAGTTGGTGAAACTTCTATACCTGAAACATTTACAGTGGTGTTTTTTTGAGGTGTTGATGGGACTCCTGTAGCTGAAACATTTACTGTGGTATGACTTTGAGGTGTTGATGAGACTCCTGCAGCTGCAACATTTACTGTGGTGTATTTTTGAGGTATTGATGAAACTCCTGCAGCTGGAACATTTATTGTGGTGGGTTTCTGAGGTGTTGGTGTGACTATTGTAGCTGGGACATTTACTGTGGTGGGTTTCTGAGGAGTTGGTGGGGTTCTTGTAGCTGAAACATTTTCTGTGGTGTGTTTTTGAAGAATTGATGGAGTTTCTGTACCTTGAGCATTTGGTGTGGTGGTTTTCTGAGAAGTTGGTGAGACTTCTGTAGTTCGAACATTTACTGTGGTAGGTTTCTGAACTGTTGGTGGGGCCTTGGAAACCAGAGAGTTTGCTGTGAAAGGAAAGGTTAAGAAACAAGTTAACTGAATATTGCTGGCCATGTTAAGATTCTTAGTCATTGCTTGCTCTGTGGCTATCCTCTCTCTCTCCCACAAACAACTAGGTATGACTTTCAGGAAACCAAGTCTTATTGTGTATTTCTCAAGGAGCTGAAGTTCTAAGTCACTCTTGCTTTGATATAAATCATACCTACAGGTGACTAAAGAAGACATATACCAAAGTATACTGAGGTGCTTAAGCTGCTTTTTGTGAAATAAATCAAAGTTAGAGTCACTAGTGATCTTATTCTGTGGCACATCTCTATTTTCTCTCCCAAATTATCTTCTGTGCTAATACTAAAGAACAACAGGATGTTGTTCTAGAACAACTAAGCCAACAGAGACAATCACAGTCTTTTCTATCACTTAACCTTAATGAGCTTGAGAACTTGTTTTGTTTCACTTCTTGTTTAAAGTGATACTTAAGTCTGAGTAAAAATAGCTCCTTTTAATTCTCTTGTGCTGGTTACCAACTTTCCATATACTAGTTCCTCTTTAGATTTCAGACTAGATAACAAGCCACGTGAAACTTCGTAAGAACATATTCTGAGAGGCATAAATCTAACAGCAGAGCAACTTTTTGGGTCTTCAGAGCCCATCTGCCACTGGGTCACTTATACAAAGTTCCTGTTGAGGCAGCATTGGGTAGTGCCGAAGCCTGATTTCACCACGTACTAGTGACCTCTAGCAAGTCCCTAACCCTTCTAAGCTATAGTTTCCTCATCTGTAAAATGAAGATAAAAGCAGAACAGATTGAGTAATTATTATTGACTAAGGATTAAGGGAAATAATTGAGTAAGCTATTTCACAGTGTCTGTCCCCGAAGCAAGAGATTACATCATCCAGGATGACTGTTGCCAGCCCCATCACACACGGGATGCCCTAGGAACTCAGACGGTATAGGTCTTTTTTTCTGCCTCCTAACCTATCTCACAGGCTGCTATAAGGGATAAATTGAGTAAAACGCCTAGCAAGTAACACAGCATTTAGTAGGCACTCAATGATAATCATTATTAAGATAAGTAAATTTTTTTTTTATGAACTTTTCATTCTAAGACCCTCCTATATAAAAATTATTCTAAATTATTCTTTGTTCTATCAAGTTAGTTCTGTTTTGATCCAGAGAATGTATACACTACCTTAGAGTTTAAATTTCCTAGAAGTTAATTTTTTAGTTATTATCTTTTTGTTACTGACATCTAGTTTAATTCCACTGTGGCTAGAAGGTATGCTCTGAATAACTTCAATCTTTTGCAATGTATTGTAGTTTAGAGCCCAGCATAGGGTCAATTTTGGTAAATATCCCATGTGCAGTTGGAAAAAAATACTTGTCATCGGTCCTATGTATCTCATATATATATATGTTTAATATCTCATATGTATATATGTTTAATTGTTGCTCAGCTCTTTAGTCTCACTGATTTTTCGTTGTTTGTCCTATTAGCTATTGAGATAGGCGTGGAATTTTCCAACTATGAGTGTGTATTTGTCTATTTTTTCTGTCCATTTTTGCTACATAGATATTGAAGCTATTTTATCAAGTACATATAGATTCCAGATTGTGATATATTACTGTTGAGTTGGCCTCCTTATCATTATGAACTGTTTCATCTTAAAATATACATTGATATTAATATAACTGTGTCAGCTTATTTTGAAGGGTTAATGTTTGCATGGTGTATTTTTCCATCCTTCCAACTATTCTGTGTTCTTTTGATTAAACTGTGTCTCTTGTAAATAGTAAAGAACTAGGTTTTTTAAAAATCTTTTTTAAGTCTGACAATCTTGGTCAAATTGCACTTAATGTAATTATTGACATACTTGAGTCTATATCAACGACCGTATTAGTTTTCTATTTCTCCCATCTATTCTGTGTTCCTTTCTGCTTCTCTCTCTCTCGTTCTCTTTTGGATTAAATATCCATTATTATTCTTTTATTAGCTTGTGATTTATGTATTCTTCTGTCATTCATTTGTAGCAACTCTAGAGATCACAATATTAGACTATAAGTCAGTCATGCAAACTATCACTTTTACCACCTTTTCAGTACTGCTAGAACTGTGCAACCTTCACATGAATTTACCTCTTTCTGCCTTTTGCATTGTTATTGTGCATTTGTATTCTATGTATAATTCAGACCCCACAGGACATTACATTCACTGTTTATAAACTCAGTATTCATTTATTATCCTTGTTAGTGTTCATTTCCTCTTGTATTTTCATGTTTTACCTGGGATTATTTTCATTCTACTGAAGAATTTCCTTTAGTTTCTCATTCTGTGCATGTTTGGTCTGTTAGTGCAAAGTTTTCTTGGTTTTTGTCTGAATACATCTCTATTTTGCATTCGGTTTTGAATGTTGTATTAGTTGGGTATAGAATTCTAGGTGAACAGTAATTTTCTTACTGTTTTTTAAAGAAGTTTTAAAGTTTTTAAAGTAATTTTAAAGATTTCTTCTTATTGTCCTTTGGCCTGCATCATTTTTTTGCTGAGCAGTGATCAGTTTTACTGCTGGTTCTTTGAAGTTTTTGTTTGTTTTTGCTTTTTCTCTTTGTGCATCAGTTTGGGTATTTTTAACTGGTATTTCAGTTCCTAATACTGTTTCCTGCTCTATCTGAATAGCTAAACCTATTTATTGTGTTCTTAATTTCAGATATTTTCCAGTTGTAGAATATTCATTTTACTCCATTTTTACAGATTCCAGTTGAAGTTCTCTTTTATCATCTGAAACTTGTTCATCAGTTATCTTAAGGTCTTCATTTGCTAACTCAATTATCTGGATATTCTTTATTTGGTTTTGTTTTCTCTTGATTTGGTCATATTTTCTTGCTTCCTTCTATATCTAACAGTCTTTTGTTGTATGCCAAACATTGTATATAAAACATCCGGATGATACGATATGCCTTTCTGATAAGCAGACTGCATTGAGGTAATCATATCTTCAACCTATTAGGAATTGAGCTGGGTTTCAGTTTCGGTAAGACTCCATCTACTTCTGCTCTTGCGTCTGTTCCTTGGGAGGGGCCCTTCTGGGCTTCTGATTCAAAGCCTGGCAGATTTTTGTTGTTTCACCTTTGGAAGATGGCAGGAGATCTAGGTCTGTCTTTCAGAGTTCTCCCAGCCATCTAATGTTCTTCCCTACACAGTTTCAAAATGAGCACAGATGTGCTAAGGGGAGACCTGTGGTATGCTAGATAAAAAGCCTGTTCCTCTGGTGGGTATATGCCATCCAAATACCATCAGGTTCTGAAAGATTTCATTTTGTACTTTAGAAGCTCTGGGTCAAGCTTCCCAGCCTCACATGCAGCCCCAAAATTAGCAAATGGCCTTTAGGAGAAACTGGTTCTGCATTTGAGGGCCTCAATTTCCAGTGTATTATCCTATCGCTCCATAACCATTAAAGCTTTGCTGATTTCTCTTTCCTTGAAGTGGTCTTTTGTCTGGGTCAAGGTGAATCCTTAGTCCAGGTTCAGAATCAGCAAATGTCCCTAGGGAAAACTGGCTTATGGCAGAATGGGTTGCCTTCACCACCCGCCCCAGGAATTTTAGTTCATTCAGACCTTGTTATTTCCACAGCTATACCTTATGCCTTAAAAAATATAAATTTTTGGTAATCTATTCAGATTTTATAGTTGTTTTAATGGAAGTATTAGCCTGCCATGACCTACTTGGGTACTTCCATATGGTTTTTAAGCTCTAAATAACTGATCATTTAACAAAACTTGGAAAAATTAATATGAACTGGATCAAATGGCCAAATTAAAAAAGCACACACTAAACTTCTTAACTAAATGAATTCAAATAATAAAATTTTTTACCATTTACATTGTCAAATCTCCCTAACAATCATTATCATTAAAGGTGCAAACACTACAATGATGTAATATTAGTGGGAGATTAAATTGGTACAGTCTTTTAAAAAGCAACGTTAGTAATGGGTATGAAAAATGTAATTCACATACCTTTGTTACAAATAATTATACTGCATGGAATTTATTGTACAAATGTACTTGCATACATGTGCAGTGACAGATGTACAAGAATATTCATTATAGCATCATTTGTAATAATAGTTCATTAAAAAAAACAAACTAGAACAAGAAACCTAAATTGCCATCAATAGGGGACTGGTGAGATAAATGAATACCCACACCATTGGTATAATATATAAAAAATATTTGTATGTTTATTTATATTCTAGAATAAAACAAAAGAATTTGTAAAAATGGTTACCTCTCAGAGTAGGACTAGTGATAGAGAAGAGGCTTTCACTTCCCCTTTTGTACTCATCTCCATGGCTTTAATATTATGTCATTATGTCTACGTATAATACTTACAATAAAAATATTTTTAATAAGGAATTTTTAAAATTCACACTAATAAAATTTCAATTTTAATTATAAAAGTAAATACTCAAATGCTTGAGTCATGCTGGTATTCACCACTACTTAAACAAATGCCATCTATTGATACTAGGCAATGTTTAGTTCAGCTTCACTGATCTTCTAAATATTTCTTTTAAAATATATTTAAAGAGCAGTTCTAAGGATTCTGAGAGTACCTTCTGGGTATAAAAAGACATTGAAAGAAAAAAGTCTAGAAGGATGAAGGAGAATGGATAATAACAGAAATTCTGGAGGCAGAAAAGAATTGAATGTTAATTCAGGGAAGTCAAGAGATGGCAAGAGTTTCTCAGTTGTTGCAACATGCATGGTCACTATTTAGAGACTTCAATCTAAGATTCTCCCGCCAATAAACCACTTTATATCCTCTTTGTATAAACAAAGTACCTATATTAACTTACTGAAAGCAACATGGTATAAAACAGCAAATTTAAGCAAATTCACCAAAAATATGAGGCCTATTTTATATATACACATCATAATGTGTGTGTGTGTGTATGTGTGTGTGTGTATACAAGCCATAGACCCTTCTGAGCAGCTTTAGAAATATTGTGTCCCACAGAAAAATACAAATATGTTTACGTAAACATTTTACATTTTTTTCTTAGGGGGTTCATAGAATGTCTGCAACTCACATATAGACTTAAGGGTAAGAATAAAGCAAAAATGTAACTATCCAAAGTGATTACCTCTACATGCAGGTGGTGGGCCACTCCACTCTCCTTCATCGTCATTCACAGTACAATAAATAGAGTGCTCTCCAATCATGGTGAATCCTCTATTACATAAATACGTTATAGACTGTCTATATCCATAATGTTCACGTTCCCCTTGAATTATTCCATTGTCAATTTGTGGTGGTGCTGGACAATAAATTTCTTAAAAAACAATTCCAACATCTTTTAAATAAATAAAACTAGTAAAATATTTTTACAAATAAGACCAAAACATGTTAAAGATTATATTTTAAAGAAATCAAAATATCATTTTTCTAAATTCAGCATTATCAACAAGAGATGCTTATAAATGCCTATTAAGTAATTGGTAGTATACTAGAGCTTTGAATGCAAATGGTGTAGAAGACAAATGCTAACCTTGAAACTAATTCATAAAAATAATAAGATTCAGAACATGTATGTAAAGGAAAAATTATAATAAGATTTGGGCATATCAAAATGGTGCTAGGAAAAGTGAATGCTGCAGGAGTTTAGGGATGAAAGCAGTATAGTCAGAGAAGACTTGGGCAGGGAAATAGAACTTCAGTTTAAACCTAATATGTACCATGCTTTTGAGAGAGAACAGAGGAGAGAGCATTACTCTTCACTCTAAGAAGGAAACAATAGCAAATGCAAGGAGTTGAAAATTCAAGCAGCATGTTTAAGAACTAAGTACAGATCGTTTTAGATAGAGCAGAGATCTTAAATGTCAGGATTACATTGTGACTTCTAGAGTAAACATTTTTAGCACATACTGACTCACAGAGACTTCATTCAAAACAATCTTACTGAGCAGTTGAACTTATAAAATAAATACAAGCAGAGGTTTTTTTAGTTATAATGTAAAAAGGGACCACTCTCTGGCAATTGCCCTGAGAAAAAATTCAATGGTTCCACATACTCCAAAGGCATGATGTTGTTGTCCTTTTTTTTTTTCCTAAGAATGGAAGGCAATTTAATATGTGTGTATGTCAAATTATGTTACACGAAGCATACTTAAGAATACAGAAAATACTTAGCACATTTATCAATCACTCTTCAGTCTTAGATCAAAACAAGCAGCAAGAACAAGCTGTTCTGATTCACACCAACTTAGAGTATGCAGAGACACACATACCATTGGTTCAGTTCAAACATTTTCTAACTGCCTAACACATGCCAGGCATTTTTCTATAACTGGAAGTGTAAAGCTGAACAAGATATAGTTCGTATGTCTTAAAAGCTAGTGGGGAAAAAAGATTCAGAGATGATTTCAATAAAAATTGCAAGGGTCATCATAGAAGTAGCCAGCCTGGGAATCTCCCTGATGGGCTAGAGAACTAACTCTTAGGAAAATATAGCTAAGTAAAGAAGGGGCAGCGGGGCATGGTGGTTCACACCTGTAATCCCAGCACTTTGGGAGGCTGAGGTGGGCAGACTGCTGGAGCCCAGGAGTTCGAGACCAGCCTAGGCAACATGAGGAAGCACTGTCTATGCAACAAATACACAAATTAGCTGGGCATGGTGGTGTGCACCTATAATCCCAGATACAAGGGGGGGCTGAGGTGGGAGGATCACTTGGGCCAAGGAGATTGAGGCTGCAGTAAGCTGTGATCACACCACTGCACTTCCGCCTGGGTAACAGAATGAGACCCTGTCTCAATCTAAAAAAAAAAGAAAAGAAAAAAAAGAGGTACATGGAAACCACAGCAGTTTGCATGTAAAAGGCATAAAACATGAGGGCAAGACCTGAGTGTCAAGCAGTAGGTAGACCATGACTGTCTTGTACACTATACTAAGGAATTTGGGCTTTGTAAGTGATAGGAGATATGAATAAGCTCTAAGGAGGAAACAGACATCTAAGTGACATCTGTGTTTCAGATCGCTCTGGGTAAAATATGGATGAAACATTAATAGAGTGAAAGAATGGAGGCAGGAGGCCATTGCTATCAGTGTCACTCTTGAACTCAGGCAACTAAGACTGCTGCCTCAGACCCCATATTTTAAAAGGCTGTGCTCTAGCCCTCCTCTGGATGCGTCTCTCCCCTGTTGGTGGGATATCTGTAGGCTGAGAGCATACACTTAATGACAACCTGTCCTACGACTTCTCCTCCATTCCAGAACATGCTCCAGGAACTAGCACCCAGAATTCCCTGTGCCAACACCCTTTCCAGGGCCTGAGAGGGTCCCTCCCACTGGTCCACGTTCTTGGGGGTGGTCTATCCCGCTGATATACTTCACCTCTAACCCAATAGACAATGGAGGGTGGATACAAGTTATGGTGGATGTGGTGGACACGACTTGGGTATTTAGGCTGAGTTGTCCACTTATTTGCACCAGAAAACCCACAGTGTCGAAAGAGGAAGGCCTATTTGAAAGAAGGTGGGTCTTAGGCCAGTGACCCCCATTTATATTCTTGCCTGGGCCCTGAAAATGTTAGAGGTGGCCCTGATTGCAATAGTCCACAGAAGGAATAATAAACTATGCCATAAGTATACAGATGGAGGGCAAAACACAAGTTTGAAAAACAGATTGAGGAAGTAAAGCACAATGATTTAGGGATGAGATGTGAGGAGTTTAGATAAAGAGAAGGGTCTGGGATGATAGTCATTATATAGCAGGGATTGATTCTAGGTTAGCAGATACCATCAGTCAACTAAAATTTTGAAAAAGAAAACATTGGCAGAGAGATAAGCAAAGAGGTCCTCTGACAGTGAGGCTCCATTCACAGGTAAACTAGCATCACCTCTGCTTTCTGTATAACTACAAACAATTAGTGGATGTATCCATTGTTCTTTCCTTCTTCATATCCATATTCACGCATGGACATTGAAGCAACCTCATGTGTTTATAGGCTAGGGCTACATACTCCAGGTGAAGCATTACATTGTTTAAGAATTTACTTTCCATTCAATCTTTTTGGTATGGTCAAAACAAGTTATGTGGAAATTCAAAATGATTCTAAAAGAAGTAAGGCCTTATGGGGATATTTGAAGGCACTGGGATTGCTTAAGAACAGGGGCTCTTTCCTACAGGATGCAGATGTCAGTGGTTGCTGAGTCAGAGAGGATAGAAGAGTCAAGGAGGAAAACATGAACATCAGAATATTCAGCATGGAGTTCAAGACACCAAATAGGGAAGCAAGGCTGAGACCTAGATGGCGCAAGCAGGAAGATAAAGTGGGTTTGCATTGCTGTCAAATTCATGACACAGCAAGTGCTTGTGCAAATACTGGCTTCAGATGGGAGACTGTTTGTCTGAACTTTGTGACATGCTGCCTGGGTCAAACGAAAGATACGGCCCAGTTTTTCCTTGTTTTCTATCTTTAATTTACTATCATTTACAGTGTCTCTTACTGGACAAGGAAAATGGGAAAGGTGCTACTGGGTAGCAATGATGAAAAATTTAAAAACAACTACAATGAGAAAAAACTGGTGGTAGTAGTATGACATCTCAAAAGAAGGGCACACGGTGGGTGTGGCAGGGGCAGGCTCCTTGATGGCACGGCTTCATTTTATTTGTCTTCATATCAGTTGACCCTACACGTTGCCTACCAGAATGTCAATCGATAAATGTTTGATAAATTACACTAAATCTACTCTAGTTTTTTTCCCCTAGTAACACACAAAAACTTTAACTTATCAATAATTTTGACAATAGGGCCTTCAGAAGTCATTTGCAGGAGGGCACATTGTGTGTAGAGAAAGAGAAGGATGGAAAGAAAGCAAGCCTACATTTTAAAATATTGCTGTATTTTATTCCTCTCAATTTCCAAGAGACACGTTTTTCTAACTGACATAAATTTGACAGGATATATACCCATTTATAGCATTATTGCTGCACCATATCTTTCATTTGAGAAGATTCTCAAATACAGAAACAGTATTTCTCCTTTATGGTATAAGCTTCTCTCTCTCATGATAAGAATATATCACACCTTAAAACCCTTCTAGATAATTATCTCTTAATTATTTTAATCCTAAGAAGCAGCATGTAGGCAACACTGGGTTTTAGAAAAATGCTGGGTCTGAAATAAGAGACCTGGGTTAAAGACCTTCCATTGCCACTTGTTTTAGGATATGGGGTCAAGTCTTATAGACCCTCTGATAGACAGTATTTTCTTACATTAAAATTGTGGGGTGGAAATCTTTTACCAATCATACTTGACTTTAGAAGTAATGGTTAGACAATAAATGACCAAGTGCAATACAAATCTAAGTTTGTTTTTAATCCTTATTCTATTGTTTGGGAATTGGGACTCAGAAAACTTGATGGTTTATCTCCACAGCTAATAAATTAAGAAGCATCACTAGAAAAGGTATTAAAATTAGCAAAGCACTCATATATTGAAAGCTGGGTTTGCTACAAATACACACTGTGCTAATTCTTAAGGGGCAGAAATTAATTTATCATTGAGTACTCAGCCTCGCAACCTGAGTGCTTAGATTTTTAACTCTTACCTCTGCACTCTGGCAACGTGTCACTCCACTGGACTCCACTGTCTGAAGCAAGACATAAACTAGAAGTCGGGCCAAATAATTTGTACCTAAAGCAATAGGGGAAGAAAAAAGAGTTTGTTACATTCACACATATTTGACTTTCCTCAAATTCTTCAGGTTATTATCTTGAAATATTTACTACAGCAGCAGGTGAAAATAAAACAGTAGTTGACAAAAGTCCACACAGTAGTTTAAAGGAAAAGAAAAATTAAGTTTAAAAAGGTGACATCCAAAGAGTAAAAACGGGTAAGACATGTACATTTTTTATTTGCATGGGGAATATGTTAGAAAGCATAAAAGTGTTTAAAACATTTTTAAATGACAGAGATGACTGAACATTTTATACTTCCGAGTTCTAAATACAGGCTTCATAAAATAATAGAATGTACTTGTATTTCAAGGGTTCAACGTACTTCCCAGATTTTGTGTTTGTGACCTAACCAACATCTGTTCCGTAAAGGAGACAAGTGATACTGATATTTTTACTTTATAAAGAATAGGGACACACACACAGTAAAATAGAATTATTTAATTCACAGATATGAAATGAGAAAATAAATGTAAAGTTTTCAACAGTGTCTGAGACATTGATGGTACTCAATGAATGAGTTGCTTTTTCCTATATAGAGAACTTATCAAAGAACTTAGGTTAGAATATTTTCACACTAGGAATGTCTTTAACTCATGCTGTTTTGTAACAGCTTGTTTGCATAGAGAAAAACTCATGCAAATTCATTATTTAGGTCAACTAAAGATTGGTTTAGTATTTAACATTTGAAGAATTATTTCTGCAAGTAACATCATCTCAAATTTTTTTATTAATCACATTTAAAATTCTATATTGAATCACATATTTACTGAAATCAGAATTTAGAGAATTTTGGTGGTATAAGAAATCTTCCTTTCTTGCCCCATTTTAGTAAATTTAACTGTGATGAGCTCATGATGAAGGGTCTTTGAGGAGAAGGATTGTTTTAGTTGCTAGTAGCTGTGAATACCAGTCATGAAACTAACAATCTCATCTTAAGTCCTAATTTGTTTCCTCATTTCCTAAATACAGGGTTTTAGTATGCCCAAACTTACCCTGTGTTACATGAGAAGGAGATGGCTGCACCAAATAATATGCCATTTGATATATCGATCTGACCATTTGGTATTTCTCCAGGATTAGGGCATGATTTCTCTAGAATAGAATACAAATTGATTTTTTTTAAATTAAATTATCAGGCATACACACAAAGAAGGTAACTATGTGAGGTGGTGGATATGTTAATTAGCTTGACTATGTTTATCATTTCACAATGTGCACATATATTAAAATATCATGTTGTACACCTTAAATAATATTTGTTGCTTATACCTCAATGAAGCGTGGGAAAAAATTTTGAAAAAATTATCAAGCACATATATGTAAATTCATCATCTGAACCATTGATAGTTCTTATCCTTAGATTTTTTTTTTTTTTTTTTGAGATGGAGTTTCGCTCTGTTACCCAGGCTGGAGTGTGGTGACATAATCTTAGCTCACTGCAACCTCTGCCTCCCAGGTTCAAGGGATTCTCCTGCCTCAGCCTTCCAAGAAGCTGGGATTACAGGCATGCACCACCACGCCCAGCTAGTTTTTGTATTTTTAGTAGAGTCGGGGTTTCATCATGTTGGCCAGGCTAGTCTCAATCTCCTTACCTCAAGTGGTCCACCTGCCTCTGTCTCCCAAAGTGTTGGGATTACAGGCATGATCCACCATGCCTGACCCTTAGACTTCTTTAATTCTAATTTCTCTTTATAATAAGTTTTGAAAAAGCAACGTATTTAGAATATATACTTGTTTCATTTTAGGTAACCTCAAACTAAATGTGAAATTTTTGAGTGAATAAGTATTCCTACCACATAAATATTTAGTTTGTCTAATTCAAAATAAATTGACACTCATGGTCCTATCAAGAAACATCCTAAATAATAACATATACACACAGAGTTCTAGCATGAATGAAGGAAGGGATACTATTTCCCCCAAACACCAGATGGTTGAAAATACTTTAAAAAATTTTACTCACTTTTACAAAATTCAGCTGCTGTGGACCATTTTAAATTCTGAAGGCAAGTTAGTTTTGCTAATAGAGAAAGGTCTCTTCTGTAACCTGGACGACACTCATATTCCACAACAGTACCGACTGGAAAATAACTCTGAGGGATATAAAGCTGTTTGAGGGATGCAAACTTTAGCCTGGTTGGCGCACCGCAGCTACCTAAATGTATTAACAAAAGCAGCAACAAAAAAAGTAGTATCAATGTTTGTTTTATAATCTATATTTAATTATCTGGACCCTAATAACCCCCTTTCTTTACTGCTTTGCACATATTTGGTACTTAACTATATTAATATCACCATGGCACTTGCAATGTAGCAAATGCATTCACATGTATACTTTATTTCCCAGTTACTAGAGGCTTAGGAAGTAGAGTTAGTACACAGATATCACTATCCCCGCTTGAAAAAAACAAACAAAGAAACAAAAAAACCATTTAGGTTGCCTGGCACAGTTCTGGCATTCAATAAATGTTGGTTTCCTTACCCTACCCTAAAGAACTACACAGCACCATACAATACAGGAATAGGGTATTTCCAGACCCCTGGACTAATGTCCTGCACAACAATAATAGCAGCTAACATTTATTTACATATAAACTCATTTAATTCCCACAAGCCCTGGAGGCAAGGATGAGTTAATTGTATACATAAAGTATTTACATCTGTAAACAGCTGGGCAAATGTGAATCTAGAGAGGCATGGTCAAGTGGAAGGGTCACTGGATTTGTAGTCAGAAGACCCAAGTTTACACCTTGGTTTTGGCATAAAAGCTGCTGTGCTCTTAATGAAGTTATTTAACTACTGGGGCCTGTCTCCTCCACCATTGGATAAAGTAACAACATGGGGAAGAGTTAAAACATGATACGTGTACAAAGACTATGTACTTCATCCTACTGCCTCTATCGTGGATAAAAATAAAAAGTTAAAGCCTATTTCACGCATGGCTTCTAAAAGTATTTGTGCCAATTTCTGTATTTACTGTAGCTTCTATTGATTTAAGTTGTTCAAAGTCAGGTTATTGGGTCTCTTTAACTTTACTCATGTATCTCAAAGCTAATACAGGGCTATGTAAATAACAGATTTTTTTCCTCCAAGATAATGCCGATATATATTTTATGAAACCAAAGGGCACACGAGGTGTGGATGACTGTATGTATATTCACCTAAAACAAGAAATCTTCATTTCTTTTAATTCTACTAGATATCAATACCAAACACGGTTACTGTGTTAGCCCCAAAACAACTCTTCACTGGGCCTCTTATTCATTTTTAACAATCCATCTATCTACCTGTCTATCTATATCCCAATTTACATATATCTCTCTCCCTATATATCTCTCTCTCCGTATATACATACATATATGTCCCTATATATATCCCAATTTATATATATATATATTTTTTTTCAAAGTAGCAAGAAGAGAAGATTTGGAATATTCTCCACACAAACGCCAAGTGTTTGAGGTACTGGCTATCCCAATTACACTGATTGATCATGACACATTGTATGATCTATAAATACCTATAAATACGTACAAGTATAACAGATTTTGAAGTAAATATTGAGAGCTTTTAAAAATGCCACCACAGAGTTGTATTTGATAAGCCCTACTTTACAAAATATTTAAGAAAACAGATCACTTACGCTATGTGTCTCAAGGCAATTGCCAAATATATTTTATATATTTACTCCCTAAACAATACATATTGTTTAATTTCTCTACTAGTTCGTTCAAGGGGTACAATGTTAGGAAGAAAAACTCTTAATGAAGCAGCAGGACCTACTCAGGGAGGTAAATGTCTTCAATTAGCTGGAGTGTGAAGTGCCAACAAGGTATACCCTGGGGTTTAGTAACACTAGAAAACTATCAATTACTAGTCACTCCAAAGATACATAAAAATAAATTTTAGATACATTTCATTCCCATAACTTTTCTTAAAAAAAATGAGGAACTTACGATTGCAGAACTCTTCAATATCTGACCATTGACTGTCCTGAAGGCACATCACTGAGTCGTGCTTGCCAGGAATTTTCGTAAAGTTTTCATCACATCTGTACGTTATTATGGTGTTCTCGGGAAAACTTGTAAGGCCTTTCAAAGCTGGCTGGGCATTAGGTACAGCTGGGGGAGGGCCACAGTCAGCTAGGGAGACAAAAGCAGAACTCAAGGAAATGACTATCAAGGGTCCTCACAGTTGCTGTTTTTAAGACACACGCCCCCTTGAAATGCCACACCTTAAAGAGATGACATGCAAGTTTGCAGCATGGTGTGCTCTACACGGCTGGACTCTGTCGAGAGTGGGCAGCGGTCAGCGGTCTGGCCTCCCATCCTTTTAGACCAGCTTTTTGGGTGTTAAGGCTCTCTTTGAGCCCTCCCTTTCGATTTTCCCAGGCTTGGCCGCTCCGCAAACCCAGCTGGGGCCTCTTTAACCTTACTCCACGCCAACTCCTAAAGCCAAGTCAGCTGGGGGCCGACACAGCAGGAGCCCCAAATGCTGGTGAGCGGCGACAGCCTTAAAGGTACAGGACGGGTGAACCAAGACCGAAGGCCACGCTCCCCACCTGCCAAGTCCCCGGTTCCTGTGCGTGTCTCGCAGACCGACTTGGACCTCCCACCCAGCCCAGGGGCTTCCCTGGCCGCCAGGCCCCCGGGCCCCCGGGCCCCTACTCACCCCACACGGCCGGCAGGCACAGCAGCAGCAGCAGCAGCAGCCGGGGCAGCTCCCCAAGGAGGGGCAGCGCCGCGGGCACGCTCGGCCGCGCAACAGTCATGGCGCGCGAGGTCAGAGTAAGTACGCGCCGCCGGGACTCCACTGGGTCGCAGCTACGCCCAGCTGCCTGAGCGAGTTGCAGCGAGCAGAAGCAGCGCCTCGCAGCTCCGCAATAACAGTTAAATGAGTGCTTTGGGCGGGGCCTGGGCTGGGGTTCTGTGTCACGAAGGGTGGGACAAAGAAGACGGGTGGAGTAGGGATTTGGTGTGGTCAGAGGTGTGGTCAGAGGGCGCTGGCGTCATACGCCCCTGGGAGCCCTAGACTCAGGGATAGCGGGAAGGGGAAGGAGGAGGAACTCGCTGGCAACCCCCTCTGGGATTCACTCTCTCCACCGCTGGGTGGGGCCTGCGATGACCTGCCTTCTGGAAACCTAAATGTCTCGTCGCTACGTAAACATAAACGGGGTGGAAACGGGAGAGGGGGAGGGGTGCTCAAGTATCGCAGGCCTTGCGGCCCGAACGTGAGTTCGTCTAAGCGGAGCATCCCCGCGCTTGAGTGCTGCCAAGCCGAGCTGCACGTGCGGTGGAGTTCGGGGACTGAGACTCCGGGATTGAGACGCGGTGCCCTCCCCGTGTTGTGGGCCTCTACTGCGAGGTCTGTCAAAGGCCAGCACGAGCGTGGGGAAGTAACTAGGGAGCGACGGTGTTATCTCCTAGAACACTCTCTAATGTGACAACAGAGAGCTAGGGAAACAGGTTGAGGAACACAGTAGGGAGTGAACATTGTTCATGCCTTGTTCTGGTGGGAGGCACTTGCTTCATCCGGGTTCTCCTTATTTACCAAAGACACCACTTTGGGATTACTCCAGCCTGACTGTAGAGAGAAATTCATCAGTGTGTGTGTGTCTGCCTCGGGGGGTAGGGGGGGTGTGGGGTGGGTGAAAGGGGTGGGATAACAACAAAAACAAACCCCAAAAAACTGAATAGTGGTGGGGTGGATTTTAAGAGGAAGGCTTGTTACAAACCTTTAAGAATAAATAGCCTGAGGTTTGCAAGAGTGGCCACACATTAGAATGATGTGGGGAGCTTACATATATATATGTATTTTTTCATATATTTATATATATTCATATATATTTATACATATATAAGTATATGTACTTTAAGTTCTGGGATACATGTGCAGAACATGCAGGTTTGTTACATAGGTATACACGTGCCATGGTGGTTTGCTGCACCCATTAACCTGTCATCTACATTAGATACTTCTCCTAATGCTATCCCTCCCCAATCCCCACCCCCCAACAGACCCCTGTATGTTATGTTCCCCTCCCTGTGTCCATGTATTCTCATTGTTCAACTCCCACTTATGAGTGAGAACATGCAGTGTTTGGTTTTCTGTTCCTGTGTTAGTTTGCTGAGATTGATGGTTTCCAGCTTCATCCATGTCCCTGCATAGGACATAAACTCATCCTTTTTTATGGCTGCATAGTATTCTATGGTGTATATGTGCCACATATTTTTTGTCCAGCTTATCATTGATGGGCATATGGGTTGGTTCCAATCCAGAGGCCCAAACTACACCTTAGACAAATTAAATCAGCATCTTTGGGGATGGCACTGGGTATCAGGATTACTTAAAAGTGCCACACTGTGCAGCCAGGTTTGAGAACCACAGACCTATATGGTACTGGTCAGAGTAAAGATCTATCCACCCTAGGACCACCCCTGTCAAAAATAGAAAGGATATAGATGGCAAGGTGGGTTGCCCTTCTTCATAGAGAATAGCCTCAAGAACGTGCTTCCCTTTAATAATTTGTCTGGGTCTGGCTAGCAGAGTCCTAGCCTAGATTCCTTTTCCCTTAAATGCCTTGCCTGGTTAAGTGAAATTCCCTACTTGGAATTATACTTTGGTCCATGGACCAGCTGTGGGGGTATTTGTTATATCCTATCATGATATTCTTTCCTGAAGGTTTTCTGATAGCTCTTTACTGGTTGGTATGAACTTTATAAGGAGGAAAACAATTTTCAATCATAGCATTTTCTTTGACCCATACTTACTGTATAGAACCAAACCCTGTGTTGCCCATTGCTGGAACCAATCCTACAGTGATTCCAAGCAAGGGACTACTGTAGGATATCATTGAAACCTAACAATACTCAAACATTGTGGAGTTTAGAAGTTAGGGTGGGGGGCTTTTAAAACCATCTAGTGTCATCCTCATATTTGATGTTAAAATACCTTACTTTTACTCCCATATTGGATATAAAAACACAAGGTCAGGGCCTGGCAGTGTTTAGAAGTGGCACCAGGTCTTCATTTATTCCCCCTAATAACCTCCAATAACCTTAACCACCACTCCCTTCTGTCGTGCCATTATACATAGGTAATCTTCATTTCTGCTTGGGCTCACAGAATTGGTGTGAAAGGCAAGGTAGCATTGTGAAAAAGACAGGTCAAGCAAGACCAGTTATGCAGCTGCCAGAAGACTTAACATTGAAGTCTATTAAAGCTCTCTACGTGTTTATTATGTGAATGTCATAGCTTTATATGCAGAGAAAACAGCTCTGCAAAGTGTCAAAAATATTATCTATCACACAACTTAGTGACACTAAATGTCCTAAGCATTCACCTTCCAGAATACTTAGTTATTGGCAATAACTATTTTTAAAAGGAAATTTTGGCTGGGCGTGGTGGCTCATGCCTGTAATCTCAGCACTTTGGAAGGCCGAGGCGGAGGATCACCTGAGGTCAGGAGTTCGAGACTAGCCTAGTCAACATGGTGAAACCCCGTCTCTACTAAAAATACAAAAATTGTCTGGGCGTGGTGGCATGCGCCTGTAATACCAGCTGCTCAGGAGGCTGAGGCGGGAGAATTACTTGAACCTGGGGGGCGGAGGTTGCAATGAGTCAAGATTGTGCCATTGCACTCCAGCCTGGGGAACGAGAGCAAAACTCCATCTCAAAAAAAAAAAAAAAAAAAAAAAAAATTTTATGAACAATTACTGGATGGAGTCTTAAGTAATAGTTACAGCCACCCAAATGTCAACCTTCTGAGGGGAAGGAAACAAAGAAATCCACTATGTATTTACTCAACTTAGAAAAGATATCTATGATAAAATCTAAGCATTCCTCAGAAAAAGCAAATATGTGAATTTATAACTTACTAAAGATTATTTTAAATAAATGGACTCATTTGTTGTGTTCCAGTTGCTTTATACACATTATACCATTTCATCAGCACAACTTCATGAAGTGAAGATAACTCTCCATATTTTGCAGACAAGGAAATAGGCTGAGAGGCTGTTTACCAAAGTTTACCAAAGTCCATGCACTAACTAGCGACTAGGTCAGAATCTAAACCTAGTTTGATTTCAAAACCTATACGTCTGTCCTACCATACTGCATTCTTTTTACTGGAATCAGCAAAAGTTTCTTGTGTGCAGAGGACAATGACTGAGGTTCTTGGGGAGGTGATTTGGGAACCCAGGGGCTCATGATATGAGCAGTAGTTCCGAGGCTTCATACTTATCTACCAGAAACTAGCTGTGTGTCCTCGGCTGAGTCACTGCACGTCTCAAGGGCTTATTTCCGCATTGATTAAAAAGCATTTGGCACTAAAATAGTCTCCATAGAGCTTCCAATCCAAAACAAGCTTATGTAATTAGGCCAAAATACAAAGAAAATAGGTTTATGATTTTGACAGAGCAAGGGACCACGGCTCTTACTCTTGTCTCAGGAACCATACAATGACTAAATCAAAGACTGTTTAATAAACTTCCTTAGCACACAGAAGCCCACTAAGTGTCAATACTTGTGTTTGAGAATCTATAATCTAGTAGGGAGGTTTTTCATGATAAATGCTTTACAAATATCACAACTAAAGTGGTATGGGGCTTCAGAAAGGAGAGAAGGGAGTGTGGTAATTGGGGTGGGGAGGCTAAAAGCCCAGTGATTCAACTAAATATGACAAGTGTCAATGCAATAGGGCAAAAATAGGAAAAGAGATATGAACAAATGTTTGGGGTCAGGAAAAGTCCTGTTGATTCCAAGAGTAGTAAGGAGTTTAGTTTACAGAGAGTATGGAGAACTGAATTTGAGGCAATGGAAGAAGAGGGTGAGAGAGGCTGGAAAGAGATTTGAGGGAGCCTTAAAGGTAAGGCCTGTGCCTTTTACACCATTCAGAAGCATTAAAGAACTATTGACAGTTGTAAGGAGGAAGCACCTGGGTAATTTGGAATTTGCATCTAAGATGCTGGAATGAGAATGACTGTGTAAGCTAAGATCCAGTTTAACTAAGTACAACAGTTCAGGTGTTTAGGCTTAGAGAACAAAAATGTCTTTTAGTTTTAAAATAATACATCTATATTAAGGAGTCCCAGTCCTGTTGCTCTATAAAACTCCTGACACAATTATTATAGACTTTTGAATTTCCATTCCTGCTCTGACCAAACAAGTTTCAAAGTAATAACCCACAGAATTTGGCAACTGACTCGATAAGGAGCAGTGGGGAAAAAGATGTTACAGATGACTCGGAAGTTTGGAGTTTGTGAGATTAGCAGCCCTATTTAAAAGAACTATCCATTCCAGAGCCAGGAGGTAATTTAGAGAAAGAACAACAAATTCAGCTTTACACTTGTTGAATTTTAAATGCCTTGGCAGGGTGTCTACATGGAAACGTCCAGCATGCGATTGAAATGGAGGCAAGATGGAGGTGGAGTGGGTGGAGACATGACTGCAGGCAAGGTTTGAACCAAGGGAAGATGTGGAAATACACAGAGAAGCCCAAGGTGTGAGACTTGAGGAGCCCCACGTTAGAAGGTACGAATGACAGAGAAAGGGAAAGGAGAAGGTAGTAGAAAGGAAAGAGAATCGTGCAATTTCCTGAAAGCCAAGGGATACAAAACTGTGAGCAAATATTGTCACCCTCATTGCAAGTGAACCAGCTGGTGTTTAGGGAAGTTAAGAAACTAGCCCCAAACCACATGGCTTGTTGGCAGTAGAACTAGTGCTCAGGATCTTAACGCCTCTGTTAGACTGGCCAGGCATCATTCTTCCAGGAAATCTCCCTTGCCATGACATCATGCCTGGTACCTTCCTCTATGCTACCAAAGTATGTAATGTGCCTATCTGTGCCTCACATCTAATGAACCAGTCTATTTCATATTCTAACTCAGCCTAAATATATTCTCAACTTATCTTAAAATATCCAATGGGCCGGGGCAGGGTGGGGTTGGAGGGAACTTTATATTGAGGCATTTTTGTCATGCAGCTGCAAATACAGGTAATTCTGCTTCACAGAATAAGGGTATTTTTTAACAAATGAAAACAAATGAGTGGACTCTCCTGTTTCTTATACATGAGTTCTTTTCTCCAGGAATTCACTAATCAAGGTATCAGTGTATTGCAGCAGACATAGTAGTTTTCCTTTTCACTAGGTGCAGGTTCAGC